GCAGGAAGAAGACTCGGCTGCTGGCCACGGAAGCCACGCAGCCGCCCCCTCTCTTCCCCCTCCCCCCATCAGCCAGCTGATCAGAGAGCAGGTTTAAACTTTAAAAAACCCTCTGTGGCACCCCAGCACTTGCAGGATTTCTCCATTGTATCCAATGGAGAAATCATGCCACCACTGCAGCACAACTCCAGAGACAATGCTGCAGATACTAAGAACCAAGTCTGTGGAGGTCTTTGTGTGTGATAGTCAGTACCTTGAATTGTTGAATAGTGTCATCAGTAGAGCTAATTCTTAACATGGCCTATTTGTGGATAAGCTTTAACCCCTCTCTGCTCAGCTAGCTGGCTGGCGGGGGAGGAAAGGGGAGGTACATTTAAACCCTCGCAGGGTTTAAATTTTTATTTTAAATTAAGCCCCCCAACACCAGCAGCCCCCCCAGAACTCCAGAGCCCTCCAGGATTTAAAAAAACCTGACTACAGGCCTGGTTTCCTAGCATTAGTCATGGAGGACATCTGTTTCTTAAAGCTACAGATGCTACTTCTATCATGGCGGGGGATTATGGGTTTTTAAGATTTCAGAATCCCACCACCAGCGCAATCTGGGTCTTTACTCAGGTTTGCAGAAAGATCTGGCTTGTCTGTGCATGGCCCCAGTCTCTACATTTCAGTATCCACAGATGGGCCACATTAAGAATTAGCTCTACTGATGACACTATTCAGCAATTGAAGGTACTATCACACACAAAGACCTCCACAGACTTGGTCCCTTGTATCTATAGGACTGCCTCTCCACCTGTGTTCCACAACAGCTTTGCTCATCTGCTCGGGGTATTCTTCTGTGGGAGCCACCTTGCAAACAAACAAGATCAACAACCACCCCACGTATGATTTCACTGATGTGGCCCCTACACTGCAGGAATGACCTTCCTGAGATTAGGAGGTCTCCCACATTTCAGTCACTCTGCAAACTATGTAAAATGGAATCACTCCAGAGGGCTGCTGTACAACAGAGCGTGCCAGGAAAGTGTTTTTATAAAGGGAAATGGACTGCAGATTGTACCACTGTGTATAGGATCTTGGCTGCACGTGTTACCCTACTGTCATTGCACTGTTTTCTACTGATGTAATACCATTTTCTCTTCATTATATGCACACTTCTGTACCATGTCCAATACGCTATGCTTATTCAGATCCCAGGAATCATGTAACAAAAATAATTTTGGCTGCTGTGAAAGGGAAATGGTTGTGTATAGGCAAGAGGGAGAGGAACACTCATGCCTGATCCAGGGAAGTTTGAAAAACACTATAGTGGATTCCTAGCTTAGACCAACCAAGGAAGCCCCATGACATCAGGAAATGTGTACCCAACTAGGTTGCCAGATGTTGGGACAGTTAAGTCAGCATACATAAGCTCAACAACATACACGAGGAATTCTGCAGACAACACTTTAAAACTGCAGGGCATGGCTCTGTTGACAGAGTTACGACAAACACTATCGCAGGGGTCAAAACTCTCAGATGTAATCAGAATTGCCACCGTATCCCCAATTACCACCATAGGGGTAAAGCAATCTCTTCTGCCGGAATACTAGAAAATACATGTACCTATGAAGATGCTTGTGCACTGACAAATGGGAGGGGGGAGATAAAAATGCAAGTTATACTTTGCCAGGAACACCAGGAACAAGTCAAGTCTGGACCCTCATGGATTTTCCTCAGAGCAGGAAGCTGCCCAGGTCCAGGAGGTGATGATGGACACAAGCCATACCTATTGCCTTCCCTCACACTGCTGGCCTCAGAAGTGCTACCAAAAGCTCTATAAGTTTGCCTCAGTTGCTTCAACGGAGAACCAACCTTGCATGCTGAGCAAAATGGTCTAGTGTGCCACTTAAGAGTTTTGATCCTTCATATCTTTGGGACCACTTCACCCCCTATGCTCCACCAGGACACCTTCTCTCATGTGAGCAGGGCCTTTTGTAGATGCCAACCCAGAAATAGACAAAATCAACAATTGTCCGTACACATGCCTTCTCTGTTGTGGGCCCTACCACATGGAATGGCCTGCCTGAAGAAGTCAGGAAGTCTCCAATTCTCCTGGCTTTCTGCAAACTACATAAAACCAAATTATTCAAAAGGGCTTTTCTACACAGGTAACAGGGTTGCACTGTACACAATGGTTCTCAAAGTTACTTGGATAAATGATTAGGAGCAGTGGTCTGCACTACTATGTACAGCTTGCTGTAAGTAGGGTCATGCTATGTAATTTTGCATCATTTAGCATGTTGATACTTATCCTTTGTTTCAGTTCTGTTTTTAAGTTACAGGTTGATTCCAGATTTCCACAATTCTTTTTTCCCCCCAATTGTTTTTATTGATTTTGTTAAAGACTTTACAGAATGCAAATAAACACAATAAGCTGTTAAGTCAATAACTTACAATAAACCATAATATAACTATATATTACATACTATAATATTTGGCAATTAAAAGGGTATATTTCTGTGAGATGTCTACTATTTGAAGTTACTGATCTTGGGGGTTGTGGATTATTTTATTTATACTAAGATCTAAGAGTGACCTATAAATATAACCATTTATGATATATTTGCTTTGCTGGGAGTATATCGTTAGTTACCATATAATCAAGAACTGGAGCCCAAATTCTATCAAATTTAGAGTAGGTTGATTTCAACAATTCTAATCCTACTGCACTGTTTAGTTAATGTCCCATCCTGTTGATTTTATTGACTCAATCTGTGTAATGTTGTATTTTATTGTACTTCTGTTTTTATTGTATTTTAATGTCTGTACGCCGCCGTGAGCCAGTTTGCCGGCAAGGCGGGATACAAATTGAAATAATAAATTAAAATAAATAAAAGATAAATAATCTGCCTTCAGTGAGAAAAATGGACTCTAAATGTAAATAAATTAAAATTAAAGCACTAAACTTAGGTTTGACAGGCACGTCAGTATTGCATATATTTCAATACCCCTCCCCCCACCAATGAAGGAAAACCTCAGGCTTCTTAGGCTACACCGGGGTGGGTAGAATGCCAGATGAAATCCAACAGTCTATCATGGAATGGTTCACAATGGACTGTGACCATTCCTGTATATATTTTGATACATTAAGCTTTTCAGTTTGTATTTTCTCTCTTTTTAAATGCAACAGCAGACATGGACAAGCCTCAACCAGTGCTGGAGAGTTCCTTACTGCATGCATCAATGAGAGATACATCTGAGCTTGTGTTTTATAATGTGCATTTATATGCACTTCCTGTACTCATCTCATGGCCCATGTTGCACCTCCACTTCTCATGCCCTTCTCTTCCTTTCCCATCTGTCTTCTAACTTCCTTAATGCTTTGCAACCTGCATGCGTACACATTTCACATATGACTTGACCAGTATAACCTACAGTCAGTGACCTCACTGAATTATCTGCTCTACATGAATCTGAATTCTCTGCATCACAGAATCATTAACTGTCCTTGGGACTTGTCTCAGGATCAGTGTGGAACAGGTCATTCTTTTCTAGAATGAAAATGCTTATTAGCTTAATAATATGCTACATACATGTGCTATACAAGTGACTTAACATGCAGTTTGCGGCAGGGCTGACCTTAGTGACTAATCTGCGCTGCATGCATTTTAGTTCCTGTTTTGTGTTTGCAAAACTGCTGCAGTATTATGTTACATTTACTCATTTTACCCAGTTATATGCCAGAAGATGACTGGTGGCAGCCTGATATCATGCGTGGATGGGGCTGCTTGTTAGTAGGAGATGTGAGGAACAACAGACTCTTCCCTTAGCCACCATTTTGTGACGGGCTCCAGCTGGTGAATCCCAAGGTTCCTGTTTTGTTCTGAATGAATCCCACATTTGAAATTGGCGTATCCCATCCAACAAGAACGAACCCATTGCAAGACCCCAATACAGCTAGTTCTCTTGCTAATCCAAGACCTGAGGCAGATATTCCTGACTGGCAAGCACCAACATGCACACCCACAGGATAGACCAGTTCGCAAAGACCATATAACTTTCAACTAATGACCAGAGAGTCACACCCTTATTAAAAGGCATTGATAAAAAGGCAGGGCTGGGCTGATGTAAATATTGGACAGCCAAGCGCATTTATATCCCAATGAGTAGAATGATGACAATGAGTTCAGAGAGCAAAGGACAAGGAGGCCTATTGTTCCTTTACTTGAAGCTGTTACTTTACATTCCCTCCTTTCCTTCCTTCTATTACTTCTCCAACAACTTAGGGTTTGCTAAAAGAGTAAAAACTTTTTTGCCTATTCAGCTCCCCATTTTTTTCCTCTTCAAGACCTTTCAAAATTTGATCCCAATTCTTGATAACTGTTTGTCATCAGACAAGAAGACATAGGCCTTGCAAGATGCTGATGCGGAAAGGAATCCTCATATGTCAAAATCATCCCAACCTCTAGTTTTCACTAGTTAGGGCTCGAATGCTTTACACCAAATATTTAGACTCTGGTAAGAATTTAACTTCTTCCAGCAGGGACAGCTGAATATCAGCAATCTCCAATTTACACAGAAAGAGTTATTTGCAGAGATCCTCACTGATTCATTAGGAAAATCAATGGCACGATCCCATAATTAGATAAAACCATAAACCCAAATAATCCAAGATAAATTATTTTGACCGTATCTGTGAAGCAGAACTGAATTCCAATCAAAGCCAGACAGATGGACTAGACAGGAGCCAACAGGGAAAAAGAAAAAGGGTAGGGTAGGCTGGACCTCATCCCTTACTTTTGCACTTACATGTACAGACTGAGATAAAGAGGTGAAGTTATTCCATCCAACAAGACAGACATAATTGTGTTTCTACTGGATATCACCATTCCTCTTCATGATACTCACCTAGTACAGTTAACTTGTTATTTAATCTACGTCTTACGATAAGTCCTAAATCTAAAAATGTAAAGAAGCTTTGGGCGTTGCTCCTCCCCCCCCCCCAAGCCTGGTGCTACTCACAGTGGTATATGGTGCTGTTCAGTGTCTGCTTTGGTCAGTTCCTCCTCTTCGATATCAGACTCCCCACCCGAGCTGCTGTCTGTCACGTCAGAGTCAAAGGCTTGCTCACAGGATCGCAGGTTAGCCATCCCACTGGCCGTAAACCTCTCCAGTTCTTCTGAGATAGAGTCACTCTTCAGGAAGCTGCTCAGTCCTTCCGAAGTACTCGTCTCACTCGCCGCTTTCCTCAACGCAGCTTCGGCCTTTCGGGTCAGCATCAGCTGACTCCGGTGTCGCAAAGAGTCCAAAGCTGGCAACTTGCTCAGAGTCTTCTCCAAGAAGCCACCCAGCTGCTGCTGGATATGTCGCTCCACCTGTTTGGCCTGCACCACCTGCAAGCGCTTTTGTAGCCGCCGAGCACGATTTTCAATGTCTACCTGCCGCCGCAGTAACACCTTTGTCCTCATGTCTGAATCCAAGGTACTGAAGGAGTTGTTCGGCAGAGAGACCTTCTCTTCAGGTTTGCTGCTCCCAAGGTCAGAAGGAACAGGCACACCAGACAACGTCAGCAACCTGTTCTCTCCACTGCCCCCTTCAAATCCATGTTCTGGGGAATTTAGGGTACGCTTATTTGCAGTGCCATTATTGCTAAGTAGAGCTGTGTGCTCCACATCAAGGTTCCTGTGCGGAAGAGTGCAATTGGTCAAACCTGATTTCAGGTCCCCCAAATCAGAGCCCCCAGGCCTATTAGAATCAACATCCTGGAGAGTGGTAGAAGGGACAGCACGCTTCCCACCATTAAGTGAAGCAGGGTTTTCATGATCAGAACTGTTACTCTTAGCTAACTTTTTAGCCAATCCATTGACAGGTGCTTGTGGCAGAGGCGTCTGATTACTCGTACTCATGGTTTTTAGGTTTTCCAAGGAAAACTCCAACACTGGTTGCCTCCCCAACAGGTCACTAGTTTTCAAGAAGGACTGAGATAACAGAGTGTGAGACTTAAGGACTGTCTGTTTGTTGAAGACCCCTTGAAGTTTTAAAGACTCCTTTGGAGGGACAGCTGTTACATCCGAGCAGAGGTAGGACGCCACCAGGGGTTGCAGCTTTCCCAGCTCTTCCTTTGTAGGGTTATTTCGAAAATCTAGGCTGGAATCCTCAGCTTTCCTCTTGGTGCCGTTGGTGGTGACAAGTATGTTGTTGGCGTTGCCGTTGTTCTCGGCACTGCCAGGAGACAGGGCGGAGGATGGGGGAGCCAGTTTGAACCGGATGTGGTGAGCTTCAGCTGCTGCGTCAGTGAGAGCGGGCGCCATAGTAGCCATTCAGCACCGAGAGATGGGACGTCCAACCTCTCCCACTGCAGAGGCCAGCTCTGCTGTTTTCTACTGCCTCGCCAGAGGGCAGCCTAAAAAAAAAATTAAAAAGTCTTATTAGGACAGAATTGGTACAGCTATAACATCAAGGCAGTTGCCATATACAACATATGTTTGCTTAGATACCATGACATAACTATGATTTACAACCATTTGTGCAATATAAGCACCCCATTCCCTGTCAATTACCCCAAATCCTAATGAAAGGACAGAGAAAACACTATTATCAGAAGTACTGAAATCTGGTCTCTATCAAAATTTGGCAAGGCAAAAATAACAGGGTGTTAAATAAAGGAGGAGGAGCAGTGAGGTAAGGGACACAAACGGAATACAGGACAAGTGGTCAAAGACTAGGGGAAGAGATAAAGAGTAGAAGGACCACGATGGAGAGGCAGACCAAACATGGTAAGTCATTCCATAAGCATGCAAGTCACCCGGCAGTGCAGGAAGACCGAAAGCTTGAAAGTACCACTGCTGGAAAGGTGATCAGGGCAGACAGTCATATTTAGTCCCAAACGCACACACATACACGCTCAGGGAAATTTCCCATGAACCCAAACTAAGCCCCTTTACACAGAAAGAAGCAATTAGTTTTTAAAAGTGGTTTAATTCTTAGGAGCTCAAGAGACTCTGCCAAGAATAGTGAGAAAGAAGCAGCAGCAGCGGGAGGGTTCTGGGATTAGCAGTTCTATCTCCCCCTACATTTACTTTGATTCAAAATGCAAACTATTGATTCAACACGCAAACTATTGCTCTAGTCAGAAGACGACTAAGGGGGGAAAAGTAACTAAACATGGAATGTTTGAAGCCATGTGGTACAAATGAAGAATTCATTGCAACTGATGCCTGACTGGTTCAGATTACGGCCTTAAACTGCTCCTCAAGACTTGCAAACTCCAAAGACGAGGCATCTGGTCAACGCAAGGCTCACAAACACACTGAAGTCTTTATCAACGAGCCTCGCCACAGTTTAATAAAAACAAAAAACACACAGCCACTTCAGTGAAGTTATGTGCCAGGTCCATCAAGTCCTGCATTTGATTTCTAGCAGCAGGAAGCCAGATGTTTCTGGAACTGCATGAGCAGGGAGGGAGACTGCCATACCATTTTGCCCCATCCGCTTGAACTCGGAAGTCTACTGCCTCTGAGCATGGGAGGTTTTATTTAAATTTCATGACTCCCTTTGATACACATTCTGAACCTTTTCCTGCTATTCTGAACCTTTTCCAGTTCTATGATTGTTTAAAAATGGGGCCTTTAGAATTGTACACGGTATCCTTACTGTCGTTGTGCCACAGATTTATGTAAGGCATAACACTTGCTAGTCTATATTTGGGGGAGGGGAGACAAACAAAATGAATGTTTTCTCTGTGCTGTGCATACTGATGTAGGGGAAAACGGCTCCAATCCTGCATGTTAACAACAGGTGGCCAGTTTAGCATCAGACTGCCATTAGCAGAGGTTTCCAGCATCGTACTGGGGTGGCATGGTGCTGGTCAATATCTTTCCTGGTACCCACCAAACGTTTTTAGAAGACGGGTGGGGTCAAGGCTGATTTGGCAGTTGGTTCCCTTCCTTGACCACAATGACCTGGCCACGGTGATCCACACGACGGTCACCTCGAGATTAGACTACTGTAACGCTCTCTACATGGGGCTGCCTTTCTCACAAATCCAAAAGCTGCAGCTGGTGCAGAATGCGGCAGCCAGGCTGCTGATGGGCATCCCCCGAGGAGAGCACATCCAGCCTGTGCTGAAAGCACTGCACTGGCTGCCAATAGTGTTCCGGATTCACTTCAAAGTGCTAGTTCTTACCTTTAAAGCCCTAAATGGCTAGGGTCCGAAGTACCTAAGGGACCGCCTTTCCCTGTACATACCCCAAAGACCACTTTGGTCCAGGGCACAACACCGCCTGGTGACCCCAGGCCCCAGGGAGGCCCGGCTCGTGGCAACCAGGGCCAGGCCCTATTCGGTGGCAGCTTCTACCTGGTGGAATGAGCTCCCGGAGGAGATCAGGACCCTGCGGGACTTGGCACAGTTCTGCAGGGCCTGCAAGACGGAGCTCTTCTACCAGGCTTTCACTTAGGAGCCGCCACTGCCACTTCCACCAACGATCCCTTAAACAACTGGGAACAGAATGGCCCTGGAAGATCATACTGCAGCGGCACGGTGGACTAGTACAGTTGTTCTGGGATATAGACAATGTCATTTGAACATCATCAGCCGAATACCATCTTTTTGATTAGCGTAACATCTTAGAGCACTTGTTAATGATCGTGTTTTATTGTGTTTTATTGTGTCTATTTATTGGCACAAAGTGCCCTATCTGTAAGCCGCCCTGAGCCCTTTGTGGGGAGGGCGGGGTATAAATTCAATAATAAATAAATAAATAAATGATGGCTCAATACAAAGAACACAACAGACAAGCACAGCTCCACACATGAGATTTGTTAAAACATGGTCACCGATACTAAACTATATGTCAAGGCAAGAAATACTCCCGGCAAACACCTTATATCACAAGTAGTTTATACCTGTGAGAAATACAAAGCAATCAGATCTGCTAACAAGGAAAAACTCTGCACACACATTCAAAACAACAATTATAACACATATCAAAACCAATATACCTAGGGGAACATTTTATCACTTACTAACTAAACGTAGGACTGAACTGGGTAATGAAGAATAACTTACCCGTACGTTACTTGTATATGTATTTTTATTGTTAAAATAATAAAAATAAATTTTAAAAAAATGTTTACTGCTGGTTTTTACTGGTGTTCTAGTGATAATTTTGTGAAGAAGAAAAGGGGGGGGTGGCTCCTGCCCAGTAAGGCTTCTAACTGCCCATCTGAGATCTAATTGGGGAAATAATGCTTTGGAATCTTGGTGCTTTGGGGGGCAACAGTGGGAGGGCTTCTGGAGTTCTGGCTCTGCTGGTGGACCTCCTGATGGCACCTGGGTTTTGGCCACTATGTGACAGAGTGTTGGACTCGATGGGCCACTGGCCTGAACCAACACTGGCTTCTCTTATGTTGTGTAGATTAAAACAACATTCAGCAACATTCGCCCTCTGACTCCTCTTTCTGGATGACAGAATATTAGGACATGAAAAACTGGGAAAATGTAATTTTTCCTCAAGTAAATATCACTTAAGATGTTAATAGTGTTTATGTTGCAATCACAGAAGAATTTTGACACTTTATTTTACATTAAGGTCCTGATCACACGCAGAAGTAGCCGCGCGAGAGGCACGACTGCCACTTGGATTTTAAGGGCGCGATCACACGGGAACATCTGGCAAGTGTCCCGCACCCGTCAGCAACCTGTCTCACTCCACCAAAGACGCAGAGTTAAAAAATACCTGGGAAAGTGCAGTACCAAGCGGGTTGTGATGGGCCGCAGACGGAGTTTCCCGTGTGATCGCTCCAGCGCACTCTGATTGCGTCACTGATCCCTCGATGAAGCGCAACGGGAACACGCGGCGAAGAAAAAACACCGATTCACCCGCCACTGCGTCTGATCACGCAGTGGCGGGGTCAAATTACTGCGGCGCGAATAGGCTTGCTTCTCCCGCCCACCCGTGTTTTCTGGCACGCGTGACCGGGACCTAAGTGTATTTAAACTAGTTAACAATTAAATTTTAGTGTTAGCGTTCTGAGCTAGGACTGAACCAGAATATTCAAAAATACACAATCCAAAATTTTGAGGTCTTCAGAACAATAAGGATCTCAAAAGCAAGAGCTAGTCAGGGGATCTCAGTGTACTTCCTCGGAATGTCAAGTTAAGGTAGCAAATGTACTCCTGTACATAAGAATCTGTATTACCATTCTTGAAAATGTCCTACAGGACTCTGCACTGTTTACTTTTGCTCACATGAATGGACTGTAGCTGGCCTTTCCTGTAGCCGCCTTCCTGCAAGTTCTGTACACCACTATCCTGCAGCCCTATAAACTTTTCCTTTACTTCAGGTAATGAAACAAATGAGAGATCCCATTTAGTCACCACGATTAAAGCAACTTCTCATCAGCCTTACACGAAACACTTCCAGGGAAAGCAAATGAGTCACTGTTCTATGTATCTCAGCGGGTGTCATTTTCTCCATACAAACATTTTACCTTAAAATATGAAGAGTTTTCTTGAAAATAACTACAAAACCAGAGGCTTTTAGAAATGCCACAGTATACAAGAGCTGGGGAAAAAAGCCCAGAACCTAAAAATGTGTTAACAGTTCAGAATTCACTTGTCCCCCCTTTTCACCTAAGCACAGGGCCAGCAACTAGTAACCTGAAATAATTCCACAGAAATCTGGGTGGGAAATTAACTGAGAAAGTGACTGCTTTACACAGCAGTTAATCTCTCCAGGCTTTTACCCTGAAGAAATGTTTATTATTTAAAAGAAAGAATTCTAGTATGTTTTGTTAAACCTTGGGGCCTCTGATAGTTAATTACTTTTTGATGATTTAGTGTAGTTAAAACATAAAACGTGAGTTACTTCCTACCATACCAGATTGGTACTTCCTATCTATACTTTGCACCAGCAACCAATGTGACATTACACGTAAGCACACACACACAAACACTGTTAACCAACAATGCAAATTAAATCCAGATTTGATCCATTCTAGATGCAGCACACAGTTTCATTATCTTCACTTACAAACACCTAATACAACATCTCTCCCTATACAGAGCGGTCTGGCAAACTATTTCTGAGAAGGAATTCTTACATCTTCCAGGAACGTGCCCACTAATTTAAACTGTGGATTTAAAATCCACTGTATTTCTGCACAATACTAATATCTTTCTGGAAAAAAACAGTTTGGCCTTGCCTTACTAAGACAATTATAGGCATTTGTTATTTAATTGCCAAAAGAAAAATTGGGCTGCACTGAGACATGTTGAAACACACGGAAATTCCAAGGATAGAAACCTCTGTCATTTCTAACAAAAGACCACAACTTCCCTTCTCTTACACAACAGGACATCAATGACAGCCACAAGAGCGAGGGGAGAGGCCACAGTTCAGG